TGAAGAGCTGAATTATATGAAAAAGAATGTGGCATCAGAATTGGAGAAAGATTCATCAACAATGATGTTATCCTGAGTTATCCTGATGAGGTAAATGAAGACTTGAAGCACTTATTGAAGAAGTTCAAATAATAATCATTTACTATAGATTATATCTCAACAAAAGTAAAACAAAAATCCTCACACTGGGCCAATAGGCAACATCATGATAGATGGAGAAAAGATAGAAGTTGTCAAAGATTTCATTTTCTTTGGATCCATAATCAAGTCATGGAAGAGCAGTCAAGAAAATGAATGATAAATTTAGAAAGCTCTACACATGATTGGTATTATCTTAAATAAGACACTCATTTTGTGGCATGAATTGTTTGCAATATGATTTTTTTTTCTCTTCTGCAGCATCTCTCTACTTCATTTCATTCTGATGATAATGTATTAAAACACTTCTTATTTATGCTCAGAAAAGAAAGAAAGTGATGTATTGCAAAGCAATTACTAAGGATGTCTTTAAATGGTCAAGAAAGCAAATGGCATATTGCAAATCTACTATCAAGGATGTTTTTAAAGTGCTGAAGAGTAAGGATGTCACTTCAAAGACTAAGGTGTTCCTGCCTCAAGCCATGGTCTTTTCAGTTGCTTCATCTACATGTGAGAAATGGACAATGAATAAGGACATCTGAAGAAGAACTGATGTCTTTGAATTGTAATGTTGGTGAAACATATTGAATAAACCATGCACTGCCAAAATAAATTGATATAGCTGAAAACATGCAGCCAGAGCATAGTGAGCCTTCATTCACATACTTTTGGCATGTGATTAGAAGTTAGTCCCTAGAGAAGGACATCATGCTTGGAAAAAGAGAAGGTCAGCCAAAAAGAATACTCTCAATGAGATGAAGTGACACAGTGACAGCAACACTCGGTTTTGACACAGGAGAGATTGTAAGGATGGTGCAAGAATGGGCAGGGTTTAATTCAATTATACATGGAATCACAAAGAGGTAGAGCTAACTGAACGTCACGCAACAACAAAATGAGAATTTAAGGCCTGTACACCTTACCATCTTAGAAAGGGTGAGACCAGGCAAGGATTCTGAAGCTTCGTCTGACATACTTTGAGCATGTTGCAAGGAGGGATCTGTCCTTGGAGAGGGACATCATGCTTGAGAGGGTGGAGGGACAGCATAGGAGAGGAAGATCCTCAATGAGATGGACTAATTCAGTAATGGGGGTAGGTGTGTCAGAGACAATAAGATTGGCACAGCATGGAACAGGGTCTAAGGCTGTTGTACATATGTGACTCAACAGCACATAACAAAACAACAACACCTTGCCATATAGAAATACTTTCCTCTTCCTTGGTTACATCTCAACTTTTTAAAATAGAAGTATCAAAAGCAATATTAGTTATGATTAGAATATTGCTTGCAGCTGAGTCACAAACAAGTCTTATCTTGTAAGAAGGTTTTTCTTGGTATCTACAATTAATTACATAATTAACTAATTGTAGCTGATGTTAGATGGATCTTAGCTGAAAGCAGGGAATACCAGAGGAATGTCTATCTGTGTTTCATTGACTATGCAAAGGCATTTGACTGTATGGATCATAACAAACTGTGGCTGACTCAGAAGAATGGGAATCCCAGAACACTTGATTGTTCTAATGTGAAACCTATACTTGGACCAAGAGGCAGTCGTCAGAACAGAGCAAGGGAACACTGCATGGTTCAAAATTGGGAAGGGTGTATGCCAGGGATGTGTCCTATCTCCATACCTTTTCAACTTGTATGCAGAACAGATTATCTGGGAGGCTGGGCTCTATGAGGAGAAATGTGGGGTCAAGATTGTGGAAGATCTATCAACAATCTGCGATATGCATATGATACAACCCTGCTTGCTGAAACTGAGGAGGACTTGAAGCACCTGCTGCAGAGGTCAAGGACTGCAGCCTCCAATATGGATTGAGGTTCAATGTCAAGAAGACAAAGATTCTCACCACTGGACCAATTGGTAGCATCAGGATGGATGGTGAAGAGATTGAGATTGTTCACAGCTTCAGTCTGCTTGACTCCACAGGCAACACTCTCAGTACCAGCATCTAGCAGCCAGGAAATTAGAAGATGTATTGCCATGGGAAAGTCTGCTGTTAGGGACCTCTCCAAAGTACTGAAGAGCAATGGTGTCTCTCTGGAGACTAAGGTATGTCTGATACAGGCCATGGTCTTTGCTTTGCTATCACTTGTTATGCATCAGAGAGTTGGACAATGACTAAGGAGGATAGAAGGAGAATTGATGCCTTTGAGCTGTGGTGCTGAAGAAGAGTATTGAGGGTACCATGGACTGCTAGGAAAACAAACAGATTCATCCTGGAAAGGGTCAAACTGGGCTGCTCCTTGGAGGCAAGGATTCTAAGGCTCCATCTGACATACTTTGGACATGTTGCAAGGAGGGACAGGTTCTTGCATCCTTTGTAGGGTGGAGGGACAGCGCAGAAGGGGAAGGCCCCCTATGAGGTGGATTGGTTCAGTGACTGGGGTAATCCGGATGGGTGTGTTGGAGATGGTGAGATTGGCACAGGATAGAGCAGGGTTTAGGGCTGTTGTACATAGGGTCGCTATGAGTCGTAAGCAGCTCAATGTCACATAACAACAATATAATTAATAAATCCCCTCTCATTCATTTGTTCATTTGAATGAGCCTGTTACTAAATAGGAGCCCTGGTGACTCACTAGTCAAATATCCAGATGCTAACAAAATGGTGTGCCATTCAAATTAATCAGCTGCTCTATGAGAGGAGGATGAGACAATCTATTACCTGGGGGACTCTACGGGACAGTTCTCCCCAGGCTGAAAGGGTTGCTATGAAATGAATGACTGACTTGATGGCAATGTGTTGATGAGTCATTGACTTAGCCCTCTAAGATGTATATTGGACATATGTCTTGGAGATAATAGGTATCTTTTGGAGAAAGTCCAGAATGGTCCTTACAGGTAAAAATGATTAAGCTTCATCTCACCTAGTTTGGGCATGTTGTTTGGAGAGGCTGTTCCTTGGAGGGGGGACATCATGCTTGGAAAGATGGAGGGACAGTGAGAGAGAGGAAGACCCTCAACCACATGGACTGGCACAGTGACTGCAGCAATGGGCTCAAGTGTGACAGAAATAATGAGGGTAGCTCTCTTTTTATCTGCTGTTGTTGATGATTGATGATGACGATTGCCTTCGAGCATGACTCATAGCCACCCTATGAACAAGCCCTTTCTGTAACTATCGACATTTATCAAAGTTCATAAGGTTTTCAGAGGCATGTTGTTTAAGAAGTGGATGCTTCCTGCTTCTAACTGCATTTGGTTTGGACCCACCCCTGGCTTTCCAGGGGTATTTCTCCCACTCTTCTTTCCTTTTCTTTATAACCCTTTCACACGGCCTGTTTCTTCTACCAGTCATGCCTCCTGCATTATCTTAATAAGACTTTTTTTTACTTGTTTTGCTACATTAAAAAAGAAATTATGATGATGATGATTCCGGACAGAGCAGGGTTCAGATCTGTTGTCCAGAAGATCACTATTTGTTGTACTCGCTGGCACCTAACAACAACAACAGTTTAGTCCTAAATTCTCTGGTAGGATTGCAAAACTGCTCTGGAAGAGTCAAATTTAACAGATAATTGTATACAGTTGTATTTTATCTTATTTCTTTCTTTCTTTCTATGTTCATCTCTAAGTTTCAATCTGCTTCTCCAGTCTGGGTTACTCTCTAGGCAAGAATGTCCACTATCATCTCTCTTAGTCAATACTGTACTGGAAGTCTTAGCGAGAACAATAAGACAATACAAGGAAATAAGAGGTATCCAAATTGACAAAGAGGAGGTAAAATTTTCTTTATATGCAGATAATATGATAGAACAATTAGAAAATCCTAAAGACTCAGTGAGAAAACTACTGGACATAATTGACCAGTTCAGTAAAGTGGCAGGATACAAGATCAACTTACAGAAATCAATTGGCTTTCTCTACAGTGACGAAGAGAGTACAGAACTGGAGCTAAGAAAAACAATACCCATCACAATAGCTAAACACAAGGTTAAATACTTGGGAGTAAACCTAACTAGAAACACAAAAGATCTATTCAAAGAAAATCACGAGGAAGGAAGGAAAGAACGGAGGAAGGGAGGAAGGAAGGAAAAGAGACTTGGAGAAATGGAAGAATATGCCATGGTCTTGGATAGGAAGACTAAATTTTTTGAAAATGACAATTCTACCAAAGGCAATTTACAAGTTCAATGCAATCCCAACACAAATGCCAATTCTATTCTTCAACTAGATGGAAAAGCCAATTTTCAATTTCATCTGGAATGGAAAGGGACCCCCAAATAAGCAAAGCACTCCTGAAAAAGAGAAACAAGGTAGGAAGCATCCTACTCCCTGACCTTAAATCCTACTACACTGCTGTGGTGGTCAAGACAGCGTGGTACCGGTATAGTGATAGGCACACAGATCAATGGAATAGAACTGAGAACCCAGAAATCAGCTTATCTATCTATGGTCAACTGATTTTTTACAAAGATGAAATCAGTTAAGTGGGGAAATGAAAAGTCTTTAACAAATGGTGTTGGCAAAATTGGAAAACTATCTGTAGAAAACTCAGGCAAAATCCTCACACCATATACAAAAACCAACTCAAAGTGGATCAAGGACCCAGGAGTAAAACCAAGGACAATAAACATCATCAGAGAAAAGCTTGCAAGAACTCTAGAAGTCCTAATCCACAACATGAACAGTCTCCCAAGCATCCTGAAAACATACAACTAGGAGAAAACAAAATAGATGAATGGGATCTTCTAAGAATCAAACCCCTATGCACATTAAAAAATTTCTCTAACAGGGTAAAAAGGAAAGCCATAACTGGGGAAAAATATTTGGTAATGACATGTCAGATAAGAAGAAATGTTCAAAATCCTTTTTGTGGTAGTGGCGAGTGCTGAGAGATCCCTATCAAGGCTGGGAGGACACTTCGTGAGTACAAGGAGGGGGAGTGCTGCCTGCTCCACCCCACCACCACCAAGTGTCGGACTCCACCGCTTTACCACATGCGCATCTTTGCCCCCAACCATGTCGTTGCCAAGTCCCGCTTATGGTGCTTTGTGTCACAGATGAAGAAGATGAAAAAGTCTTCTGGGGAGATTGTATACTGTGGACAGGTGTTGGAGAAGTCCCCCTTGCTCGTGAAGAACTGTGGCATCTGGCTGCACTACGACTCCCGCAGTGGGACCCACAATATGTACCGGGGGTACCAGGACCTGACCACTGCAGGTGCTGTCACCCAGTACTACCGTGACATGGGCGCTCAGCATCGTGCCCGGGCCCACTCCATCCAGATCATGAAGGTGGAGGAGATCACAGCCAATAAGTGCCGCCG